ATATATATATATATATATAGGGGAATGTTAATATACACCTACCTATTTTTTAGTGGGAGTATGTTAGCAACCTATACCAAAATTTTAGGACAAAAAAATCACTCATTTCTTTTGATTTGGTTAATTTGTATAAATGATATTATAATAATTTAATTTAGTTTTAAATGAAAATAAAATATTTTCTCTCTCTTATTAACTTCTTTCTCTAAGTCATTTCTCTCTCCTATTAAATTCTTTCTCCAATTCATTTCTCTCTCCTATTAAATTCTTTCTCCAATTCATTTCTCTTTCCTATTAAATTCTTTCTCTAACTTATTTATCTCTCTCCTATTAATATCTCTTTTTAACTCATTTCTCTCTCATCTCTCATAATTTCTCCTCCTCTCTCTCTGAACAAATAAAAATTAATTAATAGAAAAAATAAATGAATTGGAGAATAAAATTAATAAGAGAGAGAAAATATTTTATTTTCATTTAAAATTAAATTAAATTACCATAATAAAGGGGAATGCTAATATACTCCCACCTATTTTTTAGTGGGAGTATGTTAGCAATCTACACCAAAATTTTATGACCAAAAAACTACTCATTTCTTTTAATTTGGTTAATTCGTAGGGAAATACAAAAGAAAATAAATTCTAAGTCCTAAAATACCTCACATGAAGTATCAAGGATGGTCCTCCATCAGATATTTCGCCTTTGAAGAACAAATAAATACAAATGTTGATGATTTCTATGGAAGAACATTTGTGGGACCAAAAATCATATATCTATATTTTTTTTTAAAGTTGGGGATTCCAATTTCAACGGTATTTGCAATACTAGGGGGTTTCAAAACTTTGTTTCAGTTGGAGTATCATACATTCCTAATTTAGTCAAGATTTTCTATGACAACATTACCATATCTAGCACAGACATATTATACTTAGAAGTTCAAAATGTCAAGATTCAAGTCAGGTCACTTGATTAATTAATAATTAACAATTTAAAGTATGAAATCAGTAAATTTGATTTTGGCAACTTTAGTCAATATGAAAATTATGATTATAACACTACATTGGTTGAAATGATTAGGCAAGAAGTCCAAGTATTAAATTTAAAAAGTGCAACTAATTTCTTAGTGGATGATAAATTGTTGCATTACATTTTGGTCCACACATTAGTATCCCAACAAGGTAATTATGCATTACTTACTAGTGATGACATATTTCTTTTACAGGCTATGAAACAAAAGGTTGCAATCAATTGTTCATATTGTATATGTCGACACATGAAGAAATACGAAGAAAAAAGTGGAATGTACCTTCCATACGCTATATTTATTTCAAAATTACTGGAAATTCATAGCATGGATATAGTTGGAGACATTGAGATTAGACCTACTTATGCTATTATTTTAATCAATGTACCCTAAACAAATTGCATATAAAAAATGTTAATGGAGTATGACAAGATTGTGATAAACAGCAACACGTTGAAGAAGTTGTTGAAGATCAAGGTGGCAATCAAAATGATTATGTCTATCATGAACCAAATTCTTCTCGGGATAATAAAATGTCAAGCCCTATTTATGCAAGCATATAAGGCTTACAAAGTGAATTAGAAAATTTAACTTTTAGCATTCAAGCTTTGGATACAAAAGTAGACACCAGGTTTGAAGAATTGGTTCGAAGGATTATTGGAATTGAAAATCTTTACTTACACAAGCCTAAGTAACTTTATGATCTAAGTGCCTTTATGTATTTCTATTTATATGGTTGTGTTTACGTTTTGTATATATTTGTTTAAGTACAAAATTTAACTTTATGCTTGTATTGTGAATGTGAACCTATTTTATGCATTCTATTGTTTGTTTTAATTAGACTTTATTAAATTTAATTATATTTATGTTGTACATTAATTATATATTAATATTAATTATAGAAATATTTATATATAAACTATTAACAATTATTATATACTAAAAATGGTTGTTTATCATTAATATGAAATATCTGTACCCACTTTTTAATAAAATACGAAAACAATTTATATACAAAATAAAAACTAATAAAAAGTATAACTACCCATTTTTTTTAAAGAAATGTTTATTTTTATACCAAATCACATATCGGTAGTTATAATTAATAATTGACATCAATTATAAAACAATTTATCATAAATAATAAAACTAATATAACAAAAATTATTTGAATAAAACCACCTCTCAGAAGTGATTTTATTCAAATAAACGTGTTTATTTGAATAAATAAGTTTATTCGAAATAGAACCTGTGTTGCTATTCGTATAGAGGTCCCCTTTTGAAACAATGTACAATTTTACTTAAAGGTAAAATTATAATTTTATTACTAATTATAATATTTTTCCTCTCCCCTTCATTCAAACCAAACAACTTTACAATAATATTTCTCTTATATTTCTTATCTATTTCTATCAAATCAAATAGCCTTATTTCCACTTTACTTATCACTTATTTCTACTATCTTATTTCTCTCTCTTCTATTTCTTTTCACTCTAATTTTCACCTATTTCTCTCTTCTCAATCAAACACAGTATTAGTAATGAACCAACTCTCAATGCAATTCCTTTAAAAAACTGAAGCACAAAATTTAAATTAAACACACCAAGAAAGCTCACCTAGGATCAATTTATAAAGTGTAAGAGACTCCCGTACATCCTCCAAGCAGATGAATGCTTGGCTACTTCAGAATTCAACTCTTCAAAAGTTAACTGATTATTTCCTTTAAGCTCTTCAACTAAATTGTTCAAAGCTTTGATGCCAGAACCATACACATTTCTCTATTTTCCTACCCTCACTCTAATCTTCAATAGCCGAAAGATGCATGCCAAAGCAAATTTGTTAATCTGATAATATAAATAGCAAGCATGATTGCATCCTATGGAAACCCACTTCTGCTTTGGTTGATACAAAAGAGTGAGTGCATATCTTCTTCCATTTCCTTAAGTTGCTGCTCTTGTTGAATTAATTGAGACGGGAATTTCTGGATAAGTATTCTATTTCCTTCAATTTTATCCTTCCGCTCTAAGGTTTAAAAAATAATTTATGTGATGTCAAAGTATTCCCACTAATTGACACCCAAAAGAAAAACCATTTGAATAATGATGCTAACCAAATATACAAAACAAGTTTGACACATCAGATGCAGCATTCTCAAAATCAGCTCGTAGCTCAGTTGCATGTTCCACAGGTGTTTTTTCTGGAAAAAGCAAGCACAGAGAAAAGTCACACAACTATTTCATACTACATTGGAATGATGAGAACAAAAATTTTGAAAAACCAACCCGAAAAAGTATGGTAAAGGGAATACCCAAACAGAAACCTAGTCGATACAGAATAAGTAACCAGATTTAAGTAGATCTGATATTAGAAATTTATTTTCCTTAATTGTTGCATATGCTTGTGTGTGCTTTTCCTCAAGATCAAATAATGACTGCTCAGTTTCTTCAAGACTTTTCTGATAGCATCTGCCATAAGTAAATTTAACTCACAAAACAGATCAGCAGTTCAAAATAAAGAAAAATCAGTTAGGTACAGCCTACCTCTTATGAACTTGTTTTACCTCAGTTCTTTCAAGTTCATCACTTAACTCGACAGAAAAAGTTGCTGACAATTGTAGAGTTCTTCAACGATTGCTGCTCATAAGTTATGAGATGTATTTCAATATCCAAGTGATCGTAACTATACTGGAATAATCTAGGATGGAAAATACCTCAATCAATGAACTGACACGAGATGTGGCATCATCCATGAATGTTTAAAGACATTCTGACAATTTGCTCTAGTTAGTGAGGATCTACACCTATTGTTCTTCATTACAGAAATCCAACAACCTCTGTTCTGCCTATGGTACTAGCCAAAAAAGGATCTAGCCAAAAAGGATTCTTCATAAGTTCCAATGCACAAACAATGATTCCATCAGAGATCACTCGAACATTTTCTGCTTTACCCTCACCAAATGTGCTTTGTTTCAGTAAACTATGGCCATGCCTATATTGGGCTATTAAAAATATGGACCCTCGAAGTTCTGCTTGGAATTATCAAAGGGTAGCAAAGGAAGAAAGACGAGGCCCAACAAAGATGCAAACAACCGACTCATCCCCACCCAACCACGAATTATACTGAAAATAAAATAAGTTAAAAAGTAACAAGTCATTACTGAAATTCCCAGGAACAAATGAATCGCCCAAGAATACAAAAAGAAAACAGCCAATTGCCAAACCAGAAGGAACACATAACAGCAACCCCCAAGGCACCTTAAGGGGGGAACATTGCATTTCTTTCCGAAAAAGCTCCCCCTCACCTGCACAACTCATCGCATATTATACACAACCAGGGAACAACACCCCAAAGTGCCACATGGTGTCATCAGAGTAAGCTAGTAACATAATTCCATATTAAATATCACAATTCATGCCACTTTGGGCTCATTTAGTGATCAAGGGGTCAATATGGTAGAGACAAAAGAGACAATTGTTCACTTCCACTACAAAATCTGTTGGTAAAAATCAAAATCACATACAAACTATTTGATACAAAGAACAAGAACATAAAGATGGACAATAAAATTTAAATGTATGACATTGATAAATAGGCTGGTCTTGTGAGCTTTTTGACAGACAATAAACTTGACCAAACCAGAAACTTCTATTTCAAATCACCACAGCACCTAACACTTAAGCAGCTATGCCTGATGAGGTAATTCTGCTAGCAGCCTAACTTCGCACCTTCCCACTTCCAAGTGTGAGCTCCAAATCATCCAATGCCACTTCATGAATTTTTTCACCAACCCAAGGTTTTACCTGTACCCCAAACTCTTCTGAACTCGTTCTCATCTCTTGGATTGAGTTATCAGGCACATTGTGCGGAACCATGGGTTTAACAAGATTAAAGGTTGGAGAAGTTGGCAGTACAGATGCAGAAGGGGCAAATGCTTGGAATTTCATCCACTGGCTAGACTCACCGGTGGAAGTGTCTGACTCGTCACATTCTGGAATAGTGGCTGGGGTGTAAAGCTGCCGGTGTGTGGGGCTAGCAGGGGCAGAAGCTGCAAAGAAAGGGTAATTGAAGGAGGCCATGGATTCTTTGGCAATGGACTCCCATGTAGGAATTGGTTTCGGATTTCTAGAAGTTGGTGACGAAAGAGGCGGTGTCACAGGGGCACTGTTTGATATCCTTAGAGGAGGAAGAGACAGGGATGCATTGCGAATGTATGGAATGAGATTTGAAACATTGTCCTTATCCCCGTCTAAACGAAATGGGCTCGGGAAAGTGGAGGAGGAAGGGCTCACTTGGTATGAAGGAATTGGGCTGGGAAATGACGAAGAAAGAGGACTTGGATTTTGTGAAGAAGAAAAGGGAATGCTTCTCATGGAGCTCCCTGCACCATTGGCCAGAGGTGGCTTGCAACCCTATTCATAAAAACACATAAACTACGTTACAGTCACAAATTAATCACATTGACACTATCAATTTAGAGTCTAAAATAAGTAACTCTAATAATCTCAGTAGATGATGAGAAAATGATCGGTTCATATTATCTGTTGCAAATTATAGAAATTAATCACATTAACAATTTAGAGTCCAAAGTGAGCAACTCTCAGAATCTCAGTAGTCAGTGATAAAACCATCCATTCTTATTATTATCTGTTGCAACTTGATCACATTAACATTAACAATTTAGAGACTAAAGTAAGCAACCATAATAATAATCTCAGTAGTTGACGAGAAAATCATCCGTTCACATCATCTGTGTACACACATAACAAATTATGAACTTGTTGAAATACACATAATTCATTCTTTCATTAAGGACTGAGATTAATTATTAATTACTTTACCTAATACATATATCCAACAATTTAACACATTTCGAGCATCAAAGTTTGACTCCGTATTCTGTATGTCACCAGAACAGAATTATTGCTACTTATTACGAGCTATTTTCCTTATCTGATAGATAAATCCGACAATTTAACAAACACAAATCGATCATCAAAGTTCGACTCCGCTTCCGGTATATCAACAGAAGAGAACTATTGGTACTTATTGCAAGCTATTCTCCGTATCCAACTACGCAGTAATAAGGATCGGAATCAGATAATTAATTTAGAAAGGATCGACATCTAACTACTTTTTTCGCTAGTTCCTAATTGCAATGCAGCCTGAATGGAAAGTTACACGAACCGATTGATTGAGATGCAAGATCCAAAAGTAAGATCGAGTAACGGTTCGAAGGCGTGTAATTTGATTTTATTACCTTGCGATAGGTAGTGCCGTCTTCTTCGACGCACCAACCAGCTTCTGCACAGAGAGCTTTGAGAACTTCGTTGTTGTCACAGTGCTTCGGCAAGTTATAGTTTCCCTGAGCTCGAAGTCCGGAGTATATTTTGGCCGCTATCGCTCTTCTTCTTCTCTCTCTCCTTCTGTTGTTCTCCCTCTCTCTCCACGACGGCTTTCTCCGGCTCGTCGCCGCCGAAGTTGCTCCGTCGGAGGCCATTTTCCGGCAATGGTGACCAGCGCGTGGGAGGCGCGTGGCGGGGGATATAAACCAGGGGCAGAGACTAGAGAGTAACGGGTTCACGACTCACGAGGATTTTGCGCTTCCTCCGATTGTCTTCGCTGGATGCGTAGAGGAACGAAGAATCTCATAAAGCGAGTTTCAGGCGGGGGAATGATGGGGTGCGGGGAGGCGCAGCGAAGACGGTGGGGTCGATGCGTGCGCCTTGTAGGATTGGGATGTGATGGGAGATTGGACGGGTGAGATTTGATGGGCGGAGTGAGAGATGTGACGCGTGGAAGGCTTGCATTCCATGTGGACTGCTTCTCTGATAACCAAATTATTAGTGGGAGTGGAGCCCAGAACTGAAGGTCAGAAATGATTCAAAGGAAAATGATTCATGTATGTGGCAAAAGAAAGAATTATGATATTTGAATCCCAAATGTATTGTACTTTGTACCATTATTATTGTTTTTTTTTTATTTTAAATTTTATAATGTTATAAAAAAAATGTAGTTTTTATTACGTCAAAGAATAATATGAAATGTAATTTATAAAATTCTAATATTAATGTTAAAAATACAAAAATACAAAAATAACACTAATACAAAAATAACCCTAAACCCTATCTATCTATCTATATATATATATATATATAT